CGCGCGGTGTCCGTTAAGCCCACCGCAAAGCGCCCAAGCCGGCAGCGCCCCTTCCCCAAAACACTCACCCAGGTAGCTGTGCATCCGGCGGCCGGTCCCCGGTTTCAGGGTGGGATAGGGGCGCGGCTTCCCGTCGAAGTCCAGCCAGACGGGGCTCACCAAGCGGGGGGTGCGGTTGCAGAAAACAACTTGGCAAGGCTCCCGCGTGTTTACCGAACACAGGAGCCGAGCAGCGTCCTCCCGTTCTCGCTCCTCTTCCTCCTCCTCCCCGGGTCTCTGCGGCATCCTGACCGCCTCGGGCCTGAGCGAGCGGAACCTCCAGCGACCCAAATCGGGGGAGACCTACGCGCGCAGGCGCCCGCGTACGCAAGCAGCCATTATTTTGCGGAGAAACAACCCCCGACGTTCCACGCATGCGCACCCGCAGCAGCCATTGTTTTGCGGAAATCCCGTGCCTTAGACGCGGAGGGCTTGTAGGCGCCTGCGCAGCTCGTGTTTTCTGGAGGGACGGGGTGTAGGCTGGTGTTCGCCTTGGAATAAACGATGGGCATACGGCTGTTCTGTAACAATTGCTTGAAAGATACATTGTAAACCTCTAGTTAAAATGGTTACTAGCAAGAGAAAAGCATTTGGCTTAGATTTGAAATAATACACTGTAGAAAGCAATGATCAAACAGCAGAGACATTTTTTAAAAAAAACCCAACACTTCCTGTAAACCATTTCCAGTTGCAGATTAGTTCCAAGAACCATTTTTAATCCCCAGTTTTTAAAGTGCTCTGAAAATTTACTGGCAGTTATTAGCATTATTTTCTCCTTTTACGAAAATAAACTTGTTATTGTTACTACGTTGTTACTACCTTTATTATTTTTAAAATCCACCTCACAAATAGTGTTTTCAAGGTGGGTTACAAAATTACATTAAAAAACACCCCACAGTAAAATAAAATAAAATCTTGCTGCCAGGTACAGCAATAATGACTGTGTTAAATGGAGCGTAATCCCAAAATATGAAAATGAGAAATGTTGTAATTGCACAGGTCGTGAAAGACAAGGGAATCTTCCATGTACATCCCAACACCTTAACTGTTTGTACCTATTTACCTGTATCATAGTTATCTAGTGCTCATGATAGTTGTCCACATACATTTTGGTAAAAAACACTCCTCTTTCCACTCTGGGTCTAAAATATCCTCAAAATACCACAGGGCATCCATTGTCTATCAGTGCTTCCCAAACTTTTTCCTTCATTACCCAAATGACTTATTAGAAGGATGGTGCTGGTGTGTGCGTGTGCATGCGAATGAAGGGGGGAAGGAGGAGGGCATGGTGCATGTGAGCGAAGGAGGGCGCGGTGCGTGCAAGCAAGTGAAGAAAGGCCAGGGTAGCTGAGGGAGACTCACTCGAGCAACTTGTGACCTCCCATGCTGGCTTCCCAATTGACTTTGCTTGTGGGAAGCCATCAGTGAAAGTTTCAAATGGTGATTACCTGACCATGGGACACTGCAATTGGTTATAAATGTGAGCTGGTTGTCAAGCGCCCAAATTTTATTCACATGGGGTGCTGCAATGACTGGAACTTTGAGGACCGGTCGTAAGTCCCTTCTTTCAGCACTGTTGTAACTTTGAACGGGTAGCTGAACAAATGGTCATAACTTGACTACTTGTATTATAAAAACAGTATCAGGGAATGATCATTATGTCATTTCAACAAATTACCATTGGTAATTTCATCGATTTTTGTCTTAATAGGAATACCTTGGGTGATTTTTCAAATATATTTTAGTACACATGCCAATCTTTAAGTCAATTTAAATGTCCCTGTTGTGATGGGTGATTGGGTTTGTGTGTCATTACCTAAAGAAAAAACGTTTTAAACCAATTTTGGGTAATTTACCCAGGTTTGGGAAACACTGGTATAGATTGTATGGCAGTGTAAAATTGGTAGTTTTCTTTTTCAAACAAGGCCAAAGCCTTGTACAGCTAACTGAAGCTGAGGGGCTTCAAAAGTAGCTTTCAGTACAGAATGGGCTTTTTCATGTAAGAGCTCATTGTAGAAAAGAGGGCCAGTGAACCTCTTCTCTGCAGTCATTGTTGCTGCTATTGAGAATCCCACTCCCACAGGAGAAATCTGTTGGGGTTTCAGGCCAGCAGAAAATTCAACCACTCCTCTTTCTCTTCAACCATCATCTTTTCCCCTTCTTTTATACCTTGCACCATCCTTATCCTTGTTAGTGATTCAAAAAAAAAAAAAAAATCTTGAATAACTACAGTAAATTCTGCGTGGATTTTGTGACATAAAATCATGACAATGTGAACTGGCCCAACAGTGATGTGTGGATTTAATACTGGTTAATAGTTGATAGCAACTGGAATGTGCAGCATTAATTTATGATGGGAGAAGGGAGGGCCATTTCTGCTGCTTTGAGCTCCTGGAAGAAAGGTAGGATATACATCTGTTTTTTTTTTTAAAGGAAAACTCTTACTTCTTTCCAATCAAAATTTACCATGGGGCTCAGGAAAGATCTAAAATAAGGCAGTTGCCAAGCTCTTTTTCTCCTAAGCCGTGAGTTCCACTTTTCAAACATTTTGTAATTCAAGAAAGTTCTTAACTGAAAATTTAACGTCAAGGAAGTGAGTTGTGTCAGTAAACCTTCAGAAAAGTTTTACCTCAAGCCAATGTCAGAAGAAAAATCTCATTCCTTTTGCAATTTTGAGATGACCATTTACAAGGAAATTCTTGGTCTTGCTTATGCAGACAGAAGCTGTTTTACAACACTGAAGACCATACAATACTGAGGGCCACCTTTTCTGGCTTGGTTATGAACCACAATAGTGTACTGAAATGCATTCAAGGCAACTTTCTAGCATGTGCCTGTGGTATTGGACTGGGACGGGGGAGTCCCGGGTTCAAGCCCACTTTTAGCTATGAAAGCTCCCTGAGTGACAATGGAGCAGCCCCAGATGCCACAGACTGCCTGCCCAGCCTACTTCATAAGGTTGTTGTTGAGAGGATAGAAGAAAAAGGATATAAATCTAATATCTACATATCCAGTAAGACTCAAGCTATTAGCACATATTAGTTCTTTGGAGATTAGCCCAAATGTGTCTGCAGTTAATTTCAGATCCCAAAAGTATTTTCTTTGCTGCCTGCCTCTAATAAATTGGTGCTTCAACACTGCTTGAAAGACATAAAGCAGTTTCTTACTATTTTTTAGTCTCTTTAGAAGAAATGAGATGGTACAGAATTTATACTAGCTGTACTTTCTATAGGAATTGCCAGATCTCTTTATAGTTTTCAAAAAACAAAAGCAAAAAAAACAAAACCTCTTAATGAATCAGGTCAAAGAATTAGGTTTAAAGTTATAGGTACTGGGCAGTTGAGATATCACTAAATAAAAAGTGTCCAATAGTATCTGTTTTCAAAATCCTTCATTACAAAACAGATGTTTAATTAAGAGAATTAGACCAATTATATGTATGTTGCAAAACATTTAATATGTAGTTAAAATTTTGGTTACATTCCAAAAAGTTAAGTTCTTCATTTTTAAAAGGTTTATTGTCTGATAATGGGCAGAGCAACAATCAAAACTGATTCTATGTCTGATTTTCTCAAAAATGCTTCACTGGAATACCAGATTCATTATTCAATGATGCCAAGGAACATGATGAAAAAAAATGCGGGCAATAACATTAATCGAGCTAATAAAAATAAAACTTATTCCTCAAAAGTTGCAGGGTTTTAGAAAAATGTATTTTGCATAATAAGAAAAAATGTTATAGTAGATCTGTGGTCATCCTTAAATTAATTTCAGTGAATCACAACAGTGAAATTGTCATTAGTATTTTTAAAAAATACTTATTTTAAACTGGAAAGTAAGGGTTTCAGATAGTTCTCTCCCAGTAACAGAAAACTTAAATTATTGTATCATATTTAAGGGACTGAATACAAAGGCTTTAAACTCTTAGTTATAAACGTGCATAAAAAGGAATTAAGATAATTGTAAATATGAATAACAGGCTTCTGATCTTCTCTAAATTACGATGTTAAAGAAATATTAACAAGTATGCCCATTTATTTATTTAGCATATGGCATCTCATACATGGACTTACATTAAATACTAACATTTAGCCTAAGTTAAAAGCACTTTAAAATAAGAAATATTAACAAGTATGCCCATTTATTTATTTAGCATATGGCATCTCATACATGGACTTACATTAAATACTAACATTTAGCCTAAGTTAAAAGCACTTTAAAATAAGAAATATTAACAAGTATGCCCATTTATTTATTTAGCATATGGCATCTCATACATGGACTTACATTAAATACTAACATTTAGCCTAAGTTAAAAGCACTTTAAAATATGAATATTAAAAAGATCTAAATTCAAATACCAATGTCTAGGCCATCTAACCATTGAAGCGCAGCATCATTTATATAAAAAAAATCAGATATTGAGCCATTATATGCCCTCAGCTTACAGCTGGTCACAATGTGATCTATAGTTTGACATGCGGCCCTGCAAGTCACACTGAGGTGAGATGCCATACCCCATTTATACAGTCAATCCTGGCAGACACCATGTAAGGTGCGAATCCTGTTCAAGGTTGTCCACTGCTCGTGAGATAGATCAAACCTGGCACCTTTTGCATAGAGTCATCTGTATGTCTTCCTGTATCTGGGCGTTCAACGACCCATTTAACTTTCCACTGGGAGTCGATGTTGAAGTTGTTATGCAGATGTTGTGGAAATACCAGTGGGGGCTTCCTAGATTTAGGCCTTCCAAGGGATAAGTAGGGAAGGTCAGCATGCATTGGAAGAAGTGGGCTGTTCATGATTTTTCTATATTCTCTCACTAGTGCATCTTGCCTTCGCAAAACTGGCGGTGCTATATGGCTCACAACAGGAAGCCAACAGGTGGGAGTGGTTTTAATGCATCTGGTTATAATCCTCATGGTGTCATTAAGTCTGGTGTCTATCTTGCTAATATGGCAACTGTTAAGCCATACAGGGGTGCAGTATTCTGCTGTGAGGTAGACCAACCCTAGTACTGATGTCCTAAGGGTGGCAGCTGAAGCTCCCCATTTTGTTCCACCTAATTTCTGGAGTATGTTGTTCCTAGCATTAATTTTTGCAGCCATGTTCTCTAGATGTATCTTATAAGAAAGAGTCTGATTCAATGTTATCCCAAGGTATTTAAGATAAGAGTTGTAGGGAAGTAAGTTGTTATTCAGGTAAACCTTCAGGGCTTTATTTGCTAGTCTGTTATTAAGGTGGAAACACACAGTCACCGTTTTACTAACACTAGGAGTAAGCCTCCAATCAGTAAAAATTTTCTGAGGATGTTAAGATCTTTTGAGAGGAGGCTGTCTGCCACCTCCATGTGTTTTTCTTGCACTGCTATGGCCAAATCATCAGCGTATCCAAATTTG